ATGGAGGGATCTCATTATACTTGTACAAGTATCCAAACTAAGTATGTTTAAGCTAATCTTTATATGAAGAGATATTTTTGTCGAAACATGCAGCAACAACATTAAATTTTATTTCTTCCTCCCTTTAGCAAGGTTTATGGATTTTATGATGTTGAATTTATTTTTCAAAATAGAGGATACATTCTTTGGTAATACTGATGGAGAAAGTTTTAAAAAATGTAGATAATTATATGAGAAGGGCATGGGATGTGTCGAGGTTTTTAGGGGAGTACAACATCCATTTATATATTGCATTTTTAGTTTACGGTCTGAACTAAAAATGCAATATATTTTTCAGTCTAGATCCGAGACTATAATCTAAACTATCGAATATACTCGAGACTATACTTTGGACTATAGTTGTGTCTATACTTTGGGCTATAGTCGACCCTATTGTCTGGACATTAGTGAATTCTATATTCTGTATTAACCGAGTCGATATTTTAGACTAATAGTTCATTAGTTCGTTCTTATTTCGAGTTCTAGTTCGGTTCGTAGTTCAGTATTCATAAGTCAGTTCTAGTTCAGTTTCTAGTTTCAGTTCTAGTTCAGTTCTAGTTCAGTTCTAGTTCAGTTCTAGTTCAGAGTTCTAGTTCAGTTCTAGTTCAGTTCTAGTTCAGTTCTAGTTCAGTTCTAGTTCAGGTTCTAGTTCAGTTCTAGTTCAGTTCTAGTTCAGTTCTGTTCAGTTCTAGTTCAGTCTAGTTCAGTTCTAGTTCAGTTCTAGTTCAGTTCTAGTCAGTTCTAGTTCGTTCTAGTTCAGTTCTAGTTCAGTTCTAGTTCAGTTCTAGTTTCAGTTCTATGCAGTTCTAGTTCAAGTTCTAGTTCAGTTCTAGTTCAGTTCTAGTTCAGTTCTAGTTCAGTTCTAGTTCAGTTCTAGTTCAGTTCTAGTTCAGTTCTAGTTCAGGTCTAAGTTCAGTTCTAGTTTCAGTTCTAGTGCAAGTTCTAGTTCCCAGTTCTAGGTCAGTTCTAAGTTCCAACAGTTCTAGTTCAGTTCTAGGTTCAGTTTCTAGGTTCAGTTCTAGTTCAGTTCTAGTTCAGTTCTAGTTCAGTTCTCAGTTCAGTTCTAGTTCAGTTCTAGTTCAGTTTCTAGTTCAGTTCTAGTTCAGTTCTAGTTCAGTTCTAGTTCAGTTCTAGTTCAGTTCTAGTTCAGTTCTAGTTCAGTTCTAGTTCAGTTCTAGTTTCAGTTCTAGTTCAGTTCTAGTTCAGTTCTAGTTCAGTTCTAGTTCAGTTCTAGTTCAGTTCTAGTTCAGTTCTAGTTCAGTTCTAGTTCAGTTCTAGTTCAGTTCTAGTTCAGTTCTAGTTCAGTTCTAGTTCAGTTCTAGTTCAGTTCTAGTTCAGTTCTAGTTCAGTTCTAGTTCAGTTCTAGTTCAGTTCTAGTTCAGTTCTAGTTCAGTTCTAGTTCAGTTCTAGTTCAGTTCTAGTTCAGTTCTAGTTCAGTTCTAGTTCAGTTCTAGTTCAGTTCTAGTTCAGTTCTAGTTCAGTTCTAGTTCAGTTCTAGTTCAGTTCTAGTTCATTCTAGTTAGTTCTAGGTTTCAGTTCTAGTTCAGTACTAGTTCAGTTCTATTTCAGTTCTATTTCAGTTCTAGTTCAGTTCTAGTTCAGTTCTAGTTCAGTTCTAGTTCAGTTCTAGTTCAGTTCTAGTTCAGTTCTAGTTCAGTTCTAGTTCAGTTCTAGTTCAGTTCTAGTTCAGTTCTAGTTCAGTTCTAGTTCAGTTCTAGTTCAGTTCTAGTTCAGTTCTAGTTCAGTTCTAGTTCAGTTCTAGTTCAGTTCTAGTTCAGTTCTAGTTCAGTTCTAGTTCAGTTCTAGTTCAGTTCTAGTTCAGTTCTAGTTCAGTTCTAGTTCAGTTCTAGTTCAGTTCTAGTTCAGTTCTAGTTCAGTTCTAGTTCAGTTCTAGTTCAGTTCTAGTTCAGTTCTAGTTCAGTTCTAGTTCAGTTCTAGTTCAGTTCTAGTTCAGTTCTAGTTCAGTTCTAGTTCAGTTCTAGTTCAGTTCTAGTTCAGTTCTAGTTCAGTTCTAGTTCAGTTCTAGTTCAGTTCTAGTTCAGTTCTAGTTCAGTTCTAGTTCAGTTCTAGTTCAGTTCTAGTTCAGTTTCTAGTTCAGTTCTAGTTCAGTTCTAGTTCAGTTCTAGTTCAGTTCTAGTTCAGTTCTAGTTCAGTTCTAGTTCAGTTCTAGTTCAGTTCTAGTTCAGTTCTAGTTCAGTTCTAGTTCAGTTCTAGTTCAGTTCTAGTTCAGTTCTAGTTCAGTTCTAGTTCAGTTCTAGTTCAGTTCTAGTTCAGTTCTAGTTCAGTTCTAGTTCAGTTCTAGTTCAGTTCTAGTTCAGTTCTAGTTCAGTTCTAGTTCAGTTCTAGTTCAGTTCTAGTTCAGTTCTAGTTCAGTTCTAGTTCAGTTCTAGTTCAGTTCTAGTTCAGTTCTAGTTCAGTTCTAGTTCAGTTCTAGTTCAGTTCTAGTTCAGTTCTAGTTCAGTTCTAGTTCAGTTCTAGTTCAGTTCTAGTTCGTTCTAGTTCAGTCTAGTTCAGTTCTAGTTCAGTTCTAGTTCATTCTAGTTCAGTTCTAGTTCAGTTCTAGTTCAGTTCTAGTTCAGTTCTAGTTCAGTTCTAGTTCAGTTCTAGTTCAGTTCTAGTTCAGTTCTAGTTCAGTTTCTAGTTCAGTTCTAGTTCATTCTAGTTCAGTTCTAGTTCAGTTCTAGTTCAGTTCTAGTTCAGTTCTAGTTCAGTTCTAGTTCAGTTTCTAGTTCAGTTCTAGTTCAGTTCTAGTTCAGTTCTAGTTCAGTTCTAGTTCAGTTTCTAGTTCAGTTCTAGTTCAGTTCTAGTTCAGTTTCTAGTTCAGTTCTAGTTCAGTTCTAGTTCAGTTCTAGTTCAGTTCTAGTTCAGTTCTAGTTCAGTTCTAGTTCAGTTCTAGTTCAGTTCTAGTTCAGTTTTCTAGTTCAGTCTATTCAGTTCAGTTCAGTTCAGTTCAGTTCTAGTTCAGTTCTAGTTCAGTTCTAGTTCAGTTCTAGTTCAGTTCTAGTTCAGTTCTAGTTCAAGTTCTAGTTCAGTTCTAGTTCAGTTCTAGTTCAGTTCTAGTTCAGTTTCTAGTTCAGTTCTAGTTCAGTTCTAGTTCAGTTCTAGTTCAGTTCTAGTTCAGTTCTAGTTCAGTTCTAGTTCAGTTCTAGTTCAGTTCTAGTTCAGTTCTAGTTTCAGTTCTAGTTCAGTTCTAGTTCAGTTCTAGTTCAGTTCTAGTTCAGTTCTAGTTCAGTTCTAGTTCAGTTCTAGTTCAGTTCTAGTTCAGTTCTAGTTCAGTTCTAGTGCAGTTCTAGTTCAGTTCTAGTTCAGTTCTAGTTTCAGTCTAGTTCAGTTCTAGTTCAGTTCTATTTCAGTTCTAGTTCAGTTCTAGTTCAGTTCTAGTTCAGTTCTAGTTCAGTTTCTAGTTCAGTTCTAGTTCAGTTCTAGTCAGTTCTAGTTCCGTTATAGTTCAGTTCTAAGTTTCAAGTTCAGTAGTTCAGTTCTGTCAGTTCGAGTTCAGTTCTATTTCAGTTCTAGTTCAGTTCTAGTCATTCTAGTTCAGTTCTAGTTCAGTTCTAGTTCAGTTCAGTAGTTCAGTTCTAGTTCAGTTCTAGTTCAGTTCAGTTCAGTTCTAGTTCAGTTCTAGTTCAGTTCTAGTTCAGTTCTAGTTCAGTTCTAGTTCAGTTCTTAGTTCAGTTCTAGTTCAGTTCTAGTTCAGTTCTAGTTCAGTTCTAGTCAGTTCTAGTTCAGTTCTAGTTCAGTTCTAGTTCAGTTCTAGTTCAGTTCTAGTTCAGTTCTAGTTCAGTTCTAGTTCAGTTCTAGTTCAGTTCTAGTTCAGTTCTAGTTCAGTTCTAGTTCAGTTCTAGTTCAGTTCTAGTTCAGTTTCTAGTTCAGTTCTAGTTCAGTTCTAGTTCAGTTCTAGTTCAGTTTCTAGTTCAGTTCGTTCAGTTCTAGTTCAGTTTCTAGTTCAGTTCTAGTTCAGTTCTAGTTCAGTTCTAGTTCAGTTCTAGTTCAGTTCTAGTTCCGTTTCAGTTCAGTTCTAGTTCAGTTCTAGTTCAGTTCTAGTTCAGTTCTAGTTCAGTTCTATTCAGTTCTAGTTCAGTTCTAGTTCAGTTCTAGTTCAGTTCTAGTTCAGTTCTAGTTCAGTTCTAGTTCAGTTTCAGTTCAGTTCTAGTTCAGTTCTAGTTCAGTTCTAATTCAGTACTAGTTCAGTTCTAGTTTCAGATCTATTCAGTTCTAGTTCAGTTCTAGTTCAGTTCTAGTTCATTCTAGTTCAGTTCTAGTTCTTCTAGTTCAGTCTTAGTTCTAGTTTAGTTCAAGTTCAGTGCAAGTTCAGTTCTAATTCAGTTCTAGTTCATTTCTAGTTCAGAATGGACGGATTTCCTAGTTAAATTACACTTAACAAATTAATAATATTTCAATTCGTATATACATTTTATTAAATCTCTAGTTTCTCCATTTACTTTCAAAATAATTAAACAATTTTTGGCAAAATGATTTCACTCCACAACTCGTGCAAAGTTTTACACTTTTATTGTTTTCATGTCAACTGTTGAGATTCAATTTGAATTTTAAAATTGGTCAGTTGTCCACATTCACCTTGTAGTACTTTCTGTTCCTTTTGTTCAACAAACAAAAAAACAACAACTGCAAAAAAGGATAAAATGTGTTCTGTTAGATGAAAAAGGCAACAAAATAATGGCAAAAAAAATCTGCAATGACACGTTCGGCTTTTTTCCTCTATTCCGTACTATGTTGCCTAAAAACGTGACTAGAAAAATTGCTTACAAATTCTAATAACTTTGATTTAATCTAATTATACAAGTCCTATAAAAATAATATAACAAACTGGAGAACGAAAAGTTTTAGATTTAATTTTGATGGTAATAAAATAGAACTTTGTATGTAAATTTAGACGGCTAATGTTGAAATACATTTTTTGGTTTTTGTAAAATAATTATTTTTATTTCAATTATTTTTAGGCATTCCATGAAAATGCATCACTTGACACATCATGTCTCGGAAGAACGTCATCTTTTCAAATGTACCCATGAAAATTGTGAATATTCAGCAGTGAGTAAGTCTTTTCTGAACACTCATATGAAATCACATTCTATGGAAAGTATCAAGTGCACGGAGAAGAATTGTAATTATGTGGGCAAAAGTAAATTGCATTTGAAAAGGTAAGTACTTAATTTAATTTATAGAACTGAACCAGAACTGTAATAGAAGCAGAACTGATCTAGAACTGAACTAGAACTAAACTAGAACTGAACTAGAACTGAACGAAAACTAAACTAAACTAGAACTGAACTAAAACTGAACTAAAACTGAACTAGAACTAAACTAGAACTGAACTAGAACTGAACGAAAACTAAACTAAACTAGAACTGAACTAGAACTGAACTAGAACTGAACTAGAACTGAACTAGAACTGAACTAGAACTGAACTAGAACTGAACTAGAACTGAACTAGAACTGAACTGAACTAGAACTGAACTAGAACTGAACTGAACTGAACCAAACTGAACTAGAACTGAACTAGAACTGAACTAGAACTGAACTAGAACTGAACTACTGAACTAGAACTGAACTAGAACTGAACTAGAACTGAACTAGAACTGAACTAGAACTGAACTAGAACTGAACTAGAACTGAACTAGAACTGAACTAGAACTGAACTAGAACTGAACTAGACTGAACTAGAACTGAACTAGAACTGAACTAGAACTGAACTAGAACTGAACTAGAACTGAACTAGAACTGAACTAGAACTGAACTAGAACTGAACTAGAACTGAACTAGAACTGAACTAGAACTGAACTAGAACTGAACTAGAACTGAACTAGAACTGAACTAGAACTGAACTAGAACTGAACTAGAACTGAACTAGAACTGAACTAGAACTGAACTAGAACTGAACTAGACTGAACTAGAACTGAACTAGAACTGAACTAGAACTGAACTAGAACTGAACTGAACTAGAACTGAACTAGAACTGAACTGAACTGAACTAGAACTGAACTGAACTAGAACTGAACTAGAACTGAACTAGAACTGAACTAGAACTGAACTAGAACTGAACTAGAACTGAACTAGAACTGAACTAGAACTGAACTAGAACTGACTAGAACTGAACTAGAACTGAACTAGAACTGAACTAGAACTGAACTAGAACTGAACTAGAACTGAACTAGAACTGAACTAGAACTGAACTAGAACTGAACTAGAACTGAACTAGAACTGAACTAGAACTGAACTAGAACTGAACTAGAACTGAACTAGAACTGAACTAGAACTGAACTAGAACTGAACTAGAACTGAACTAGAACTGAACTAGAACTGAACTAGAACTGAACTAGAACTGAACTAGAACTGAACTAGACTGAACTAGAACTGAACTAGAACTGAACTAGAACTGAACTAGATCTGAACTAGAACTGAACTAGAACTGAACTAGAACTGAACTAGAACTGAACTAGAACTGAACTAGAACTGAACTAGAACTGAACTAGAACTGAACTAGAACTGAACTAGAACTGAACTAGAACTGAACTAGAACTGAACTAGAACTGAACTAGAACTGAACTAGAACTGAACTAGAACTGAACTAGAACTGAACTAGAACTAAACTAGAACTAAACTAGAACTAAACTAGAACTGAACTAGAACTGAACTAGAACTGAACTAGAACTGAACTAGAACTGAACTAGAACTGAACTAGAACTGAACTAGAACTGAACTAGAACTGAACTAGAACTGAACTAGAACTGAAATAGAACTGAAATAGAACTGAACTAGAACTGAACTAGAACTGAACTAGAACTGAACTAGAACTGAACTAGAACTGAACTAGAACTGAACTAGAACTGAACTAGAACTGAACTAGAACTGAACTAGAACTGAACTAGAACTGAACTAGAACTGAACTAGAACTGAACTAGAACTGAACTAGAACTGAACTAGAACTGAACTAGAACTGAACTAGAACTGAACTAGAACTGAACTAGAACTGAACTAGAACTGAACTAAACTAGAACTAAACTAGAACTAAACTAGAACTAAACTAGAACTGAACTAGAACTGAACTAGAACTGAACTAGAACTGAACTAGAACTGAACTAGAACTGAACTAGACTAAACTAGAACTGAACTAGAACTGAACTAGAACTGAACTAGAACTGAACTAGAACTGAACTAGAACTGAACTAGAACTTAAGTAGAACTGAACTAGAACTGAACTAGAACTGAACTAGAACTGAACTAGAACTGAACTAGAACTGAACTAGAACTGAACTAGAACTGAACTAGAACTGAACTGGAACTGAACTAGAACTGAACTAGAGCTGAACTAGAACTAAACTAGTACTGAACTAAAACTGAACTAGAACTGAACAAGAACTGAACTAGAGCTGAACTAGAACTGAACTAGAACTGGACTAGAACTGAACTAGAACTGAACTAGAACTGAACTAGAACTGAACTAGAACTGAACTAGAACTGAACTAGAACTGAACTGGAACTGAACTAGAACTGAACTAGAGCTGAACTAGAACTAAACTAGTACTGAACTAAAACTGAACTAGAACTGAACTAAAACTGAACTAGAACTGCACTAGAACTGAACTAGAACTGAACTAAAACTGAACCAGAGCTGAAGTAGAACTGAACTAAAACTGAACTAAAACTGAACTAGAACTAAACTAGAACTGAACTAGAAGAAGAATATAGACTATACTTCCGATCAAAATATGGTGAACTTTTCGCAAAAAAAACCCTTATTCATAACAACCTCCATTTTTCCAAAAACCCCATTTAAAATCAAACTAAAACACCAAATCACATTAAAACACGCACTGTTTTTAAATAAATTTATTTTCAACTGATCTATAAATTGCTGATATTTCGATCACAGTTTATTAAAGCAGCAGCAGCCAAATCCAATAACTACAACTAAAACTGTCGCCAAAACAAAATCAATATGGTAGACATTAAAACACAAAACTGAAGATTAAAATGCCGACAATGTCCTTTAAAAGTTTAACAAACAAAAAATGCAAAAAAAAACATTGCATACAGCAATAATAACAACAAGTCATTCTGCCTCTAGAAACGTGACTTATCGATCGCTTTGATATGTTCTGTGAATTTTTACACACACACAACATTGCTCCACCAACAGCAACAAAATGACAAGAAATTCCTTTTGCTTACTGCAACCTAAAGACGTTTCTCTCGAAGAATATGCTGGATCGATCGTATAAGAAATAATCAAAATAAAGAATTGCAAAACTTATGCATGTTTAGAGTTGAAATACAATAAAAAGAAGAATTGCATATAAAAGAGCAACAACTGCAAAATGGAACTAGCCAAACCAACCAATTGCATTTAAATGCAATTGCCACTGTATAACACAGAAAAACCAATACGAAATAATCTAAATACGGTGATGAAGTTAATACTGGATGGTTGAATGAAAGGGCTGTACGAAAAGTTTTCTTAAACGGATTTATATTTTACAGCATAGTTCTTTTAGATCGGGAACGTCAGATTCATTTTATGTCAAACATGTGGGTTTGATCTTGACTCCTTTTTCTAAGAATTTCTAAATTATATTGTAACAATCCTCTTGGATTAAGCTTTTACGCAGGTCCAAAAACTGCAATCAGCAGATGCTATCAAATTTGACTTAGCTCTAGACTATTACTCATATTCAACATGATTTGACGTAGAGTAATCAAAAAATTGATCATGAGAAACCACAATTTATTTCCTTTAAGGGTTTTGTAATAAAAAACTTTTTATACGGACCTCGTCAAAAATTACTATGGTTGGTGCTGTAGCTGCTGTTCAGCATGTTACAAATGATGAGGTGGACTTTGCTGATGATCATGATGTTAAGGTTTCAGATTATTGTAGAACGAATTTGGTGCGTTACATAAAGGAGGAGATTTGTTTGTATGACATTAGAAGGGGCCCTCCCTTGTAAAGATTACAGACTATTCTGTAATCCAGACTGTAGACTTTTCTATAGTCCAGACTATGGACTATTATATAGTCCAGACTAGAGACTATTCTATAGTCCAGACTATGCTATTAGTAGTTCAGATTATAAACTAGTCTATAGTCCAGACTGTAGACTAGTCTATAGTCCTGACTATAGACTATTCTATAGTCCAGACTATGGACTATTCTATAGTCCAGACTTTAGACTATTCTATAATTCAGACTTTAGACTAATCTTTAGTCCAGACTATGGACTATTCTTTTGTCCAGACTCTAGACTATTCTATAGTCCAGACTATTGACTATTGTATAGTCCAGATTATAGACTATTCTCTAATCCAGACTATGGACTATTCTATAATCCAGACTATGGACTATTCTATAGTCCAGTCTATGGTATATTATATAGTCCAAACTATAGACTATTCTATAGTCCAGACTAAAGACTATTGTATAATCCAGACCATAGACTATTCTATAGTCCAGACCATAGACTATTCTATAGTCCAAACAATAGACTATTCTACAGTCCAGACGATAGATTATTCTATAGTCCAGACTATAGACTATTCTATAATCCAGACTGTAGACTACTCTATAGTCCAGACTGTAGACTTCTCTATAGTCCAGACTATAGACTATTCTATAGTCAAGACTATAAACTATTCTATAGTCCAGACTATAGGCTATTCTATAGTCCAGACTATAGGCTATTCTATAGTCCAGACTATAGGCTATTCTATAGTCCAGACTATAGGCTATTCTATAGTCCAGACTATCGGCTATTCTATAGTCCAGACTATAGACTATTCTATAGTCCAGACTATAGACTAGTCCAGACTATAAACTATAGACTAGTCCAGACTATAGACTGTTCTATAGTTCAGACTATAGACTATTCTATAGTCCAGACTACAAACCATTACATAGTCCAGACTATAAACCATTATATAGTCCAGACTATAGACTAGTCCAGACTATAGACTGTTCTATAGTCCAGACTATAGACTATTCTATAGTCCAGACTATAGACTATTCTATAGTCCAGACTATTGACTAGTCTGGACTATACTATCCTATAGTCCAGACCATAGATTTTTCTATAGTCCAGACCATAGACTATTCTAAAGTTCAGACTATAGACTATTCTATAGTCCAGACCGTAGACTATTCTATACTCCAGACTATAGACTATTCTATAGTCCAGACTATAGACTATTATATAGTCCAGACTATAGACTTTTCTATAGTCCAGACTATAGACTATTATATAGTCCAGACTGTAGACTATTATATAGTCCAGACTATAGAATATGATATTATCCAGACTATAGACTATTCTATTATCCATGCTGTAGACTATTCTATAGTGTAGACTATAGACTATTCTACTTCTACTAGGCCCCACACATTTGTCTTTCTCTGCAACATTTCCCCGTTGCTGCTGTCGACCCTGATGTTCCAAAAACAACAAGTAAATATCAATACAATTTCTTACACATTTTGCAACATTTTCATATGATCATGCTGAAAAGGCAGCCCAATGTAAAAGTGTAATTGTAGAGATTTTCTTTTCGTTTTGTTGTTGTTTTGTATAATGCGGTGGCGGTCAGTCGGTGGTTATTGTAACCAATTTAACCTTGAAATATGTTGATCTTTACATGTTCATATGTAGAATGAATATACAATTATTTAGTGGGATCAGCTATATGTAGTACAATGGAAAATAGTTGAATTTAGAAGCATTGTTTGTTTTATTAAAATTTTACAATTTTTTTCTTGGTTTAGTTGGCAATAAATGCGTGTTCAAAACTGACATTTACCGACGCCAATTGTCTGCTGCATAAAATGATGATGACGATGACAATGATGATTATGTTGCCACAACGATTGGAACAATGTTGCTTATTTACCACAGCAAGAAACCTACAACTATTGTTTCGTTCCTGGGGCTCATAATCATGAATTGCGTAATTCAATTTAATCACATTTCAAACGATCTTTCTCTCCCTCATGCTTCTTCGATGACTTCAATTCAATTAAAAATCAAATTCTACAATTCCACTGAAATCGATTTAAAATTCAACCATATAAAGAACAAGGAACACAGCCCAACGAGAAAAACATACTGTGTACACGTTCTTCTTTTGGTGGCAAATCCTTGGCCATTACGTTAGAACAAAAAACTTAACGTAACATGGTCATTTAAAGACAGGAACCGCCGTTTTATGTAGCTGTCTCTTAAAACGAGTAGCACACATGCCTCCTCTGTCTACAGACGCACACACACCCAAACACACTTGTACTTTTGCTTAAGATAAAAATGAGGTGGCAAATCACGCAGCAACATTATTTGTTGCTAATTAAGCCTGCCTCAATGGTCAGAGATATTCTTTTCGTTTGAAACCAAATGAGCAAGTAACAACGATTCATATAGTCGGTCAGTGTGTTTGTAAAGTACCCACACAACTCTCATCTGGCTTATGAAATGAAGATCCATTCCTAAGTATCATTTTTTGGAGATTCTAGTTCGCTCGTTTAAACATTTTGAAGCCCAAAAATGCTTTATAGCAAACATAACCTCAAATCCTAAATACCACATCACCCCCAATAAAGGACATCTCAAGCTTTTAGTTCTCTTTATAGAAGCTCTATCAAAAGCAATGGCTGGTTCTTATGACGATAAGATCGATCCGATCTATAGAATTTGGTGTATTCGAAATTGTTGACTAGATTTTTTACTACTCCAAAGATTTCTCCACAATAATTAATTTCTATTCCATTTTTTCATTTCACTTTCAGACACCTGCTGTCCCACAAACCCACCTCAGAAAGCAAACATTTCAATTGCGAGAAATGCTCGTTTAAAACCAAAATCAAGGGACATCTACAAAGACATATGCGTCATCATACCGGTGAGAAACCCTACTCCTGTCCTCATTGCGATTTTCGTACTAGCACCTGGGAGAATGTGCGTAAACATGTTCTGAAAACTGAAAAACACGCTGGAAAATTTGTATTCGAATGTGAAAAGTGTCAAAAAGAAGCGAAGACAAATGAGGAACAGCAAAAAGAAGATGGAAATCAAATTAAAGAAATATTTAAGACAAATTCTCATCAAGAATATCGGCAGCATTTGAAACAAAAGCATAAAAATGAAAAATAACGGAAATACAAAGAATTTAAACAGTAAAACTATTTTTAAAAGGTTTGGATTTTTGCTAAAACATTATTTTGTTACGCAAACTTGGTATTACTTATTTATGGCAGGTAAAAGCAAAGACATAAACCCAGTATTTGTTAAACACTTTTATACACACGTTTACCTTTTTTTGTAGTTTTTTCATGTAAATAAACCTAAAAGAAACAAATACAAACAATATCTTCTCATTTGCCTAAACAGGCCTGGAAAATCGAAATTTTTAAATAATAGAAAATAAGATGGAAGAAAAATATACTGCTGACTAGTCTATTGACTATTGAATAGTCTACTGGCTGAACTACTGACCAAATTATCGACTAGTCTATGTACAACACTATAGACTAGACTACAGACTAGACTATAGATTAGACTATAGACTAGAATATAGGCAACACTACACTACAAACTAGACTATATACTACACTATAAACTGGACTCTAGACTAGACTATAGACTAGACTATAGACTAGACTGACCAAATTATCGACTAGTCTATGTACAACACTATAGACTAGACTACAGACTAGACTATAGATTAGACTATAGACTAGAATATAGGCAACACTACACTACAAACTAGACTATATACTACACTATAAACTAGACTCTAGACTAGACTATAGACTAGACTATAGACTAGACTATAGACTAGACTATAGACTAGACTATAGACTAGACTATAGACTAGACTATAGACTAGACTATAGACTAGACTATAGACTAGACTAGACTATAGACTAGACTATAGACTAGACTATAGACTAGACTATAGACTAGACTATAGACTAGACTATAGACTAGACTATAGACTAGACTATAGACTAGACTATAGACTAGACTATAGACTAGACTATAGACTAGACTATAGACTAGACTATAGACTAGACTATAGACTAGACTATAGACTAGACTATAGACTAGACTATAGACTAGACTATAGACTAGACTATAGACTAGACTAGAATAGACTAGACTATAGACTAGACTATAGACTAGACTATAGACTAGACTATAGACTAGACTATAGACTAGACTATAGACTAGACTATAGACTAGACTATAGACTAGACTATAGACTAGACTATAGACTAGACTATAGACTAGACTATAGACTAGACTATAGACTAGACTATAGACTAGACTATGTACTAGACTATAGACTAGACTATAGACTAGACTATAGACTAGACTATGTACTAGACTATAGACTAGACTATAGACTAGACTGACCAAATTATCGACTAGTCTATGTACAACACTATAGACTAGACTACAGACTAGACTATAGATTAGACTATAGACTAGAATATAGGCAACACTACACTACAAACTAGACTATATACTACACTATAAACTGGACTCTAGACTAGACTATAGACTAGACTATAGACTAGACTGACCAAATTATCGACTAGTCTATGTACAACACTATAGACTAGACTACAGACTAGACTATAGATTAGACTATAGACTAGATATAGGCAACACTACACTACAAACTAGACTATACTACACTATAAACTAGACTCTAGACTAGACTATAGACTAGACTATAGACTAGACTATAGACTAGACTATAGACTAGACTATAGACTAGACTATAGACTAGACTATAGACTAGACTATAGACTAGACTATAGACTAGACTATAGACTAGACTATAGACTAGACTATAGACTAGACTATAGACTAGACTATAGACTAGACTATAGACTAGACTATAGACTAGACTATAGACTAGACTATAGACTAGACTATAGACTAGACTATAGACTAGACTATAGACTAGACTATAGACTAGACTATAGACTAGACTATAGACTAGACTATAGACTAGACTATAGACTAGACTATAGACTAGACTATAGACTAGACTATAGATTAGATAGATAGACTAGACTATAGACTAGACTATAGACTAGACTATAGACTAGACTATAGACTAGACTATAGACTAGACTATAGACTAGACTATAGACTAGACTATAGACTAGACTATAGACTAGACTATGGACTAGACTATAGACTAGACTATGGACTAGACTATAGACTAGACTATAGACTAGACTATAGACTAGACTATAGACTAGACGACTAGACTATAGACTAGACTATAGACTAGGCACTATAGACTAGACTATAGACTAGACTATAGACTAGACTATAGACTAGACTATAGACTAGACTATAGACTAGACTATAGACTAGACTATAGACTAGAATATAGACTAGACTATAGACTAGACTATAGACTAGACTATAGACTAGACTATAGACTAGACTATAGACTAGACTATAGACTAGACTATAGACTAGACTATAGACTAGACTATAGACTAGGACATAGACTAGACTATAGACTAGACTATAGACTGGACTATAGACTAGACTATAGACTAAGACTTAGACTAGAGACTAGGTAGACTAGGCCTATAGACTAGACTAATAGACTAATAGACTATAGACTAGACTATAGACTAGACTATAGACAGACTATAGACTAGACTATAGACTAGACATAGACTAGACTATAGACTAGACTATAGACTAGACTATAGGACTTAGATATAGACTAGACTATAGACTAGACTATGTACTAGACTATAGACTAGACTATAGACTAGACTATAGACTGGACTATAGACTAGACTATAGATTAGACTATACTATAGACTAGATTATAGACTAGACTAGAATTTAGGCTATAGACAAAGTTACTAAATACATTTTTGGGAGCACTGCGGAGTTTTTAATGACAAAAAATACTAAAAAAGTGAATATAAGCATTAAATTTTCCAACCCTGTGTACTACTCTCAACATTAGTATAACTCTTTATTAAAGGAAAACCAACAAACAAATATAATTTGTAAACAAAGCACTTTCTCTCTCATTATCTTTTTATTATTACTCTTTTTAATACACTTAAAAAACTCGATTTACTCTATTCTCTTAATCAAAATTAAATCTCCTTTTACCATCAAAACGATAGCCATAAGCAGCTGCATTTTTTGTATCCACCAAGGCAGGATTACGATGTTTAAAAAACGATCCATGAGCATGAGCTGGCCGGGAAGCACTGTTGGGAACACCATCCATTTCCCTGGGATAAAAAGCCTCAAACATACCCTCTGGTGGTAAAACCGAGGCAATTTTCTTGTCATTGGGATCATAACCCGAAACAAATGATGGCATGAACATAGTTATCATTATAATAATAACAAGACTGGTCATTAAATAACGCCACATAATTTTCTTTGTGTTATTTTATAACTTTTCTACAACTTTTATTTTTTTTAATATTTAGGATAAGTAATACTACTAAACCACTTTTACGTTTAAACTAAAAATGTGTATGAATTTAATGCTGTCTGGTTTACAACTGTTGAGACCGTCGCGTTTGGTTTATGTTGTGTGTGGCTGACTTTTAGTTTGTTTGATTTTTTTTCTTCTTACTTACTTTTGTTTTTTTTTTGTTACTTTTTTGGGCTCGGCTAGGCAACATTTTTAATTGTTAATTACTTTTTGTTGCTAATTTTTTCTTTTTAGTTTCTTTTGTTTTGTTTATATGTGTTACACTTTGCAAGGTAATTGT